GCTTGTAACCCTTGTCACGGCTTGAAACTGTCACCTGGGTCACTTCCCGAGTATCGCAGGACTCATGGGAGAAAAAAAATTGAGCAAATAATACACCTAGGAATGTTTTGTTAGACTCCTCCGGTTTTAATAATGTATTTATCATGTGGGTGTAGCCTAGGTAATAAAAATTCATCTTTCCCTCTTTTCTGTGACCATAAATGACTGATCTGGTTCCAGATGAACAAAAATGTGAGCAATCCGGTTGGAGATCCTGACTCTAGATGCTATCAGCTCCGCCGAGCATAGGAGTGTTTTTATGATGCTGTGTGGCAGCTGATACAAAATTTTCCTGGCAGAGCTCAAAAGGCCGTACTTCTTGTACCAATTCGTGGGAACCGGGAAGCAAAAATGACTTTCTGCAGTTTTACACCCTCAGCTCAATGAACAGCAAAAGTGAAGCCTCTGAATCTTCACAGTTGTTAGTTTTAAAATAAGATTTTGCTGGGTGTCGTATCTGGCTGAGAATAACTCTGGGGGTTTGCTTTCTCTTTCCAGCATTGCTGCAATTTCGTTAAGTTACTCAACCTCCTTGTTTGCAAAATGTGCTTTTAATTATGGAGCTGTCTCATCCTAAAGTTGCTTACCTGGGTATGCCCCGAGCAGGCAGCTGAGGAGGCACAAACCCCACGGCAGAGCAAACGGGGTTTATTTATCCCCAGGCTGGGCTAACTGAACAGGGCAGACTTGTAAAATAATGTGATGAGCTACGAAATGTCGTAATTCTCTCTGGAAGTAAGATTAATCTGTGTCTTTTCCTCTCCCAGGCCCGAGCTGGAATCATTAGCACTGTAGAGGTTCTAAAAGTCATGGAAGCTTTTGTGAATGAGCCCAATTATACTGTGTGGAGCGACCTCAGCTGTAACCTGGGGATTCTCTCGACTCTCTTGTCCCACACAGACTTCTATGAGGAAATCCAGGTGTTCGTGAAAGATGTCTTTTCACCAATAGGGGAGAGACTGGGATGGGACCCCAAGCCTGGAGAGGGTAGGAAACTCGTGCTGTCAAATCCACTCGTCGTCTTGGAAAACTCGTGTGTAAATAAGCCATCGAAATTTTTGGCAAAGGGAGGAGAGAAGGAAGAGGAGCCTGGAGCAGGCATGGGGGTGTATTTTTATACTTAAGAACAGACTAATGCAAAGCCCCAAACAGCCCTCTGTTAGTGGGCATAAGTCAGAATGGTAAAACGTTTCCCTACCTGGTCGCTGACTGATAACAATTCTCTGCTTTAGCTTTGCATCTGAGTACATGAAACTTCTCAGGCTGCAGGGATGGAGAGCCGTGTGCGTGCGTGTTTACTTGTCCTGGTCGGTCCTGTCGTAGAAGCAAACGGTCGATATTACTGACTCGGCTCAGGTGACAGGCCTAGCCTGTTGTGTTTGAGCCGGAATCATCTTCTGCTGACCCTCTTGCCTTAAAAGAAAAAGAATTTATTCTTCAGTTGGCAGCAAGGAGAGCAAGAAGAGGCTTAGTTTCTTTAGATATCCTCAAGCATATGCAAAGATTGTTCCACGGCGCTGCCCTGACCACTCTAGGTGGAAGAACACTTAACTGCTGAATTATGTCTCCGAACAATTAATTTATTTTTTTTTCCCTCCTACTCACTCACTAGGTCATCTAGACGCCCTTCTGAGAGGTCTGGTCTTGGGCAAACTAGGAAAAGCTGGCCACAAGCCAACGTTAGAAGAAGCCCGACGCCGATTTAAGGACCATGTGGAAGGAAAACACTTGCTGTCAGCTGATCTGAGGAGTCCTGTAGGTTACTGTGTAATTCTGGTTCCCAAAAGCCTGTCCCCTGTGTGTGCTGAACTCCTGTATTTCCAAGAATAGGGAAGCTAGAGGAAACCAGTGGCATGGTATGAGACTAACTGGTTTTGGCAGAGGTGGTGAGAGCTTGGATAAATCCAGTTATGAAGAAAATGATACCGGGGAGCATGATAGAAACATCCCTGTGTTTCTTGCCTCAAGTAAAGCCTCGTCTGTCCTGGCCAGTACTTAAAAGCTCAGCTGTACCCACACTGACTGCCAGGGAAGAATTCTGGTCTCTTGACAGTGCAGCTCTTCAGCTTTTGAAAGGTTTTTTAAGTGCAGCGTTGAGCCTGAGCTGCCTCCTGCTCATTCGCATCGATCCGTGAGCAGCCCGCAGGTTTAAGAGCACGGTGGTCAACTGCAGGGATCGGCAGAGCTCTGCGGTGTCAGCTCAGCCCTGCAGAGCACCGAGTCTGTGGTGGATGTGGATTGAAGCACTTACTAGCTCAGTGTCGTGTGTTTCTTGTTGTGATCTTTTGCTGTGGTTGGCATTAGCAAAATTATGCTGAAATTGAGGAGGAGGAGCTAAAGGAGTCGATCAGTCTTTAAAATCCAGTCTTAAAACATAGAAAGGTTGAGCGCCCCATGTCTGCCAGATCTGTTCACTTGTCTGAAATCTAACCCAAGCACGGAGAAATTGTTGCATTTCTAAGGGTGAGGTTACTGAAAGGCCTTCCTTGTCTCATGCTCTGTCGTAGGTCTATGTCACTGTTTTGAAGCACGGAGACAGCACGACTTTAGACACGATGCTGAAGGTGAGTGCACGCTCTGTCGTGAATGAAAAGCTTCAATGCTGTGCCCCACAAGCTCGTTTGAGATGCAGTTAATCTGCAGCCGGGCTGCAGGGAGGGCGTGGACGCTCCTCGGTGGCTTCACGGTGTGAAATTGCCATCTAGTGGCTCGTTGCCTTTTCCGTTGCTCGGAGGCACGGTCCCGCTTGACCTTCTGTGTAAACAGTGGGGAAGACGAGTTTATTAATAACGGTGCTTTCTGCTGATGGACTCTTAACGAGCTCCATAATGGGCAGGATGATTCATGAGCGAGCTCAGCTGGTCACACGTGAGGTCTGAAGACTAATCCAGCAGCTCTGGCGCGCGCGGCGGCGCCGGGGAGGAGGTCGGCGTTTAACGCCGTGCGCTAACGTTCTTCGCTTTGGCTTTGAAGCTTCACAAGCAAGCGGACATGCAGGAGGAGAAGAACCGAATTGAACGAGTTCTTGGAGCCATCTCTCAACCAGAACTGATTCAAAAAGTTCTCACCTTTGCACTTTCAGTAAGTTCCTGGGAAGGCTGCTACTTCTTCACCTCGTGGGAATGGTGAGGGCGTTCGGAGCACTTGGTGATGTAACGCACGGGAAGAGGGGGAAGAGCCCGAACGATTAAATCCTTGACCTGTATCTTAAAGTTTGGGGTGGAGGGAAAAAGCTGTCGTTGATGGGTTTGGCGTAGAAATGCTTAAAGCCAGTTCAGGGTAGAGCTGCATAAAGCCAGTGGGGCCGTATTTGTTGAAACGGTCTTGAACCTTTATCTCTGTTTTCCCCCTCAGGAAGAGGTACGTCCCCAGGACACGGTATCTGTTATTGGTGGAGTAGCTGGAGGCAGCAAGCAAGGGAGGAAAGCTGCTTGGAAATTTGTAAGGGACAATTGGGAGGAACTTTATAATCGATACCAAGGTGGATTCTTAATATCCAGACTAATAAAGGTACGTGCGGGCGGGAGAAAAGTCAGCTTCCACGTACATGTCCGAAAGGAAACTGTTACATTTCAAATGCCAGATGCTTGCCCTTGGTTAATATTTTTTTTTTTTTCCCCTTCAGCTAACAGTGGATGGATTCGCAAATGATAAAATGGCCGCTGAAGTTAAGGTAAGAAATTTTAATTAAAGAGGCGATTAACTTGATCTGTGGCAAGACTGTGAGCACCTGACAGAAGAGCCACGAGTTTCTGTGCGGGTTTTGGTTTCGGACTGTGGCTCTGCCTGCTTTGACTGTTGCCTAGTCCCCAAATTTCATGGCTTTAGCTCGAGTTGTTTTATTGAAATGTCTTAAACTGGCATTTTCACAAAGTAACGCGCACCTTCTAGCCCCTCTTGACTTGGGGGCTTAGGCTCTGGTTTTGGTTCAGTTTTAGAGAATATGTTCAGGTTTTATTATTTACTCATTGCCTGCACTTTTACAGGGACTTCTTGGAAGGGGAAACTTGAAAATATGGTCCTTAACGATCACTTTGCTGTTAGGAAAACGCTCAGGAGGAATTCTTATTTCCAAGATAAGCTGAGCCATGAGCTCTGTTTATCCTTTATCACCTGGTGATCTCTTCTTAGAAAATATTTAGTAGCATAAGTGATTTTACAGAGAAATCTTACACGATAGTTGTTTGTTGGGTTTTTTTCCCCATGAAAAACACTTTGCAAAACATTTACCAGAACAATCCTCCACAACTAGAAGAGAACTGCCTGAGAGAGCGCACCGAGCCTTTAGCTGCAGTACTTAACGTGTCTGAGCCTCGGGGTCACCCTGTGGCGTGAGGTGATGTGCCAAATTCTGGGGAGAGCCTGTTGCACGGAGCTGGAGGGGAGGACTCCTGGCCCTGCCAGCTTTCCTCCAGCCTTGAACCGACGGCAGAGAGCAGAGGCCCAGCGGGCTCTGCTGCGCTTTCTCCAGCCGTTTGCGGGGCATGGATGCTGTTGATTCTGGAGGAAGAAACGTGAGACTATTCAGCAAAACTCTGTGGAGGTCATTGTGCAGCTGGCACAGGGCCTAGGTAGAACGCTGAGACATCTGATACCCAGACAAATGCTTTTGCAAAATGCCCTTCGGCTTCCCTTAGTGTCTTCTTCCAAGTATCCAGAAATACCCGCTTGATTTGCTGCTCGCTTGGCGCCTCCCCGGCAGGGCCTGAATTCATCCCTTCGAGTGGCACTCGCTGTCCCTGGCAGCGAGGACAAGACCGGGCGGGCGGCAGCGACCGGGCTCGTTTGGAGCCGCGCTCTGTGGTTTTCCCTGAGCAGAGGAGCGGAGGCGTTTTGCTCTTCCCACTCTGCGCCGGGATCACCCGTCTTGGAAGCGAATTTTTTCTGATGCCGGTGCGAGCGGACGGCACGAGGGCCATAATTCACAAAAAGCGCTCCCGTCCAACTTGGGGAGATCCGTCAGCTTGCAAATATAACCTTGTCTTCACAAGGTTTAACAAGGCCAAGTGCCGGGTC